GCAGTGGTTCTCAACCTTCCTCATGCCGCGACCCTTTAATACAGTTCCTCATGTTGTGGTGACCCCCAACCATAAACTTATTTTTGTTGCTACTTCATAACTGTAATTTTGCTACTGTTATGAATCGTAATGTAAATATCTGATATGCAGGATGTATTTTCATTGTTACAAATTGAACATAATTAAAGCATAGTGATTAATCACAAAAACAATATGTAATTATATATGTGTTTTCCGATGGTCTTAGGCGACCCCTGTGAAAGGGTCGTTCGACCCCCAAAGGGGTCGTGACCCACAGGTTGAGAACCACTGCCCTAGGAGCTGTATCAGTAAAGATATTCTATGACATATGTCTGATATTTTACTACCTATGGATTCTTCTAAGATTTTTATGGTTTCCAGTCTTATGTTTAAGTCCTTTATCCATTTTGAGTTTATTTTTGTTTATGGTGTAAGTTGGTGGTCTAGTGTCATTTTTTTCACGTATTGTCCAATTTTCCCAACACCATTTATTGAAGAGACTGTCCTGACTCCATTGTATGCTCTTGCCTCCTTTGTCAAATATTAATTAAGCATAATGGCTTGGGTTGATTTCTGGTTTCTCTGTTCTGTTCCATTGGCCTATATTATATGTCTGTTCTTGTGCCAGTACCAGGCAGTTTTGAGAACAGTGGCTTTGTAATATAGCTTGATATCTGGTATTGTGATCCCTCCAACTTTGTTCTTTCTCAGGATTGGTGTGGGTATTCATGGTCTTTTTTTATTCCATATGAATTTTTGGAGCATTTGTTCTAGGTTTGTGAAATATGCCATTGACATTTTAATAGGGATTGCATTGAATCTATAAATTGCTTTGGGTAGTATGGACATTTTAATGATGTTGATTCTATCAATCCATGAACACGGTATGTTCTTCCATTTGTTTATGTGTCCCTCTATCTCTTTTTTCAATGTCCTGTACTTTTGTGAGTACAGGTCTTTTATCTCCTTAGTTAAGTTTATTCTTAGTTATCTTAATTGTTTTTGGTGCAGTGGTAAATGGGATTGTTGTTTTAGTTTCTCTTTTTGTGAGTTCATTATTGGTGTATAAAAAAGCCATAGCCCTGGCTGGTTTTGCTCAGTTGATAGAGCGTTGGCCTGTGGACTGGGGGAGTCCTGGGTTAGATTCCAGTCAGGGGCACATGCCCGAGTTGCAGGCTTGATCCCCTGTGGGGGGTGTGCAGGAGCAGCCAATCGGTGATTCTCTCTCATCGTTGATGTTTTTGTCTCTCTCTCCCTCTCCCTTTCTCTCTGAAATCAGTAAAAAAAATATATTAAAAAAAAAGCCATAGATTTCTGGTTGTTAATTTTGAATCCTGCTACATTGCCGAATTCATTTATTAAGTCTAGTAGTTTTTTGATGGAGTCTTTAGGGTTTTCTATTTACAATTATCATGTCATCTGCAAATAATGACACTTTTACTTCTTTTCCAATTTGGATGCCTTTTATTTCTTCTTCTTGTCTGATTGCTATGGCTAGCACTTCCAGTACTGTGTCAAACAGGAGTGATGAAAGTAGGCATCCCTGTCTTGTTCCTGTTCTTTGGGGATATGGTTTTAGTTTTTGCCCATTGAGTATGATGTTGGCTGTAGGTTTATCATATAAGGCTTTTATTATGTTGAGGTATGATCCCTCTATTCCCACTTTGCTGAGAGTTTTTAATCAAGAAAGGGTGTTGGATTTTGTCAAATGCCTTTTCTGCATCAGTTGATATGATTATGTGATTTTTTTTATCTCTTAATTTGTTTATGTGATGTATTGCGTTTATTGATTTGCGGATATTGTACCAGCCTTGCATCCCTGGATAAATCCCACTTGGCCATGGCATATGATCTTTCTGGCATATGTAATGCTGGATCCGATTTGCTAGAATTTTGTTGAGGATTTTAGCATCTGTGTTCATCAGGGATATTGGCCTGTAATTCTCTTTCTTTGTAGTGACTTTATCTGGTTTTGGAATTAGGGTAATGCTGGCTTCATAGAAAGAGCTTGGAAGTGTGCCTTCCTCTTGAATTTTTTGTAATAGTCTTGAATTTTTTAGTTCTTCTTTGCATGTTTGGTAAAATTCCTTTGTAAAGCCGTCCAGACCAGGGCTTTTGTTTGCTGGAAGATTTTTGATTACTGCTTCTATTTCATCAGTAGTTATCGGCCTGTGTTTTTTATTCTTCCTGATTGAGTTTTGAAAACTTGTATTTTTCTAAGAATATGTCCATTTCATTTGTCCAGTTTATTGGAGTAGAGCTGTTCGTAGTATTGTTTTACAATCCTTTGTATATCTGTGGGGTCTGTGTTACTTCACCTCTTGCATTTCTGATTTTGTTTATTTGGGTCCTCTCTCTTTTGTTTTTTGGTGAGCCTGGCTAGAGGTTCATCAATCTTGTTTATCCTTTCAAAGAACCAGCTCTTGGTTTTATTGATCTTTTGTATTGTTTTTTGGCCTCTTCTTTTATGGCTTTTGTATGGTGTTATAGTGTTGTCATAAACGTTAATCAGTTCAGTGAATAGTATTGATCATTATTATGCCCTTGATGTATAAGTACGGAAGTTAGAAAGATAAATAAAATCCTGTGTCATCCCTCAAAGAATTCATATCCTAAGAGAGAAACTGACATCTAAACAACTTAGACAATGTGACTAATGTCATATTCATATTATAATGTAGAAAGTACTATAAATAACTGCTGAGAGAAGGAATTAGGTCTGCTGAAGGCTTGAAGAGTTTAGGAGAGGCTTCATTGAGAGGTAACCATTATAGATTCTCTGGGCAAAATAAGGTACGGGTGCATGAGTACAGACAGCTTCAGGGAGAACATGATAGAAATCTGGAAGTATTAACATGATTAATTATTTAATTTGCAATTAAAAGGAATTGCAAATGATGGGTGCTAAGACTGGATAGGTAGGAGACTAGATCAGTAGAGAGGTTAATGGGGAGCTCTGACAAGTTTTATAATGCTATATAACCTGATCAGAACAGTGCTTTATAAGAGACCTCTCTGGTGTCAGCGTGGCACATGGACTGGCATCGGGAAAGATGAGAGGCAGCAAAATAGTTACCTGCCTATGTGAATGGAACTCGGGCCTCCTGCTGACCAGTTTCAAGAGCTTTAAAACTTCATTATTTTAATTTCCTGTATTTTTTGCATCTTTAGCTTCAAATTATAGCATCAGTAATGTTATTTTTGAACGTGGAAATGCCCATTAAACTTATTCCCTTGTGTTTCTCATTAATAGGCTGCTGCTGATGAATACAATAGACTGAAGCAAGTTAAGGGGGTAAGTATCCCAGGTGGTAAGATTCTCCGAGGAATAATTTTTCTGTTGCATGTTTTTCCTTTAACCTTGAGAATACCTTGTCACGCATGTACTGATTATACACAGAAGGCCCAATAGTTGCAAGATAAACTATACCTGAGAAGTTGGAACCTTAATTTAAGTTGTTTGCAGCTATAAGCAATACTGATTTTTAAAAACTTTTTTAAAGTTTGAAGTATACTTACATACAAGTATACATCATAAATGTACAAGTTGGTAAATTCTCACAAAGCAACTACATACCTCTGTACCTGGCACTCAGATCAAGAAATAAATTTCCTTGTACTCTCTTCCAATTTTTGCTTTCTCTCCAGAGGTAACCACCATTCTCACCTCTAACATCATAGATTAATGTTGCCTGTTTTGAACTTTACATAAATGGAACCATATATGTGTGATTTCTCTTTAAAAAACTATTGATTGATTTGAGAGAGAGAAAGAGAAAGAGAGAGAGAAAAAAACATCAATTTATTGTTCCATTTATTTATGCACTCATTGGTTGCTTTCTGTATGTGCCCTGACCCAGGGACTGAACCCGCAACCTTGGCATACAGGGACGACGCTCTAACCAACTGAGCTACCTGGCCAGGGCTGTGTGATTTCTTTTGCTCAGTTCTGTGTGAAATCCATTCATGTTTTGGCATGTGGTTGTGGCTCATTTACTTATTTTGTGAAGAAAACACAACTTATTCACTTCTTCTATCATTACTGAGCATTTGGATTGTTTCCAAGTTAGGGCTTTTGCAACGAATGCAGCTTCAAACATTTTTGTGAGTGTCTAAGCACGTGTGCACGCAGTTGTTAGGTACATACTTAGGAGTGAAATTGCAGGGTCATTGGGTAAGTGTGTACCCAGCCTTGGGTCGGTACTGTCAACCAGTGTTCCTGGTTTGGGCCAGTTGAGATTCCTACCAAGTTGTATAGATTCCTGTTGCTCTATATCAGTGGTTCCCAAACTTATTTGGCCTACCGCCCCCTTTCCAGAAAAAATATTACTCAGCGCCCCCTGGAAATTAATTTTTTTTAAATTTTAATAGCAATTAAACAGAAAGATATATGTATTAATGTTTCTACCTTTTTCATAAAATATAGTAAAGAAAGGTGTAAATTAGAAACATTGAAGTTTGAAATTATGAAACTATTTATTGAACTCAGAATAGAAAGGTAATACAAAAAAAGTTAAAACAAATGCACCTGTGGCCATCACCGCCCCCCTGGATCGCTGCAGCGCCCACCAGGGGGCGGTAGAGCCCACTTTGGGAATCACTGCTCTATATCCTTACCAGCACTTGCCATTCCCAGTCGTTCTTTACTTCAAATATTTTGTTTGTTTGTTTTAAAAGATTTTACATTAAACTTGTAAAAATTACAAAACATCATGATTTTAAATGCAAGAGTTTAAAAGCATGTATAGTAAGTTTCCTGTCTCATTCATCATTAATCCAGTCCCCTTTTCCCAAACTGATATCACTAGTTTGTTTATGTTATCAAAAAGGCCAATAGGTGTTTGTTTGTTTTTGTCACTTTACAAATCATTAGAAATTCGTGTATCGTTTTGAAAACTCAGGTTAGAAGATTTTGTTCAGCAAAGAGAATCAACTGCCTATCTGGCTTGAGATACTGCCAGGTGCCTTATGTATGTTACATCATTTAACACTCCCAACAATTCTGATGACTAATAGTCCCCTTTTGTGATTGATCTCTGCCTTCCCAGCAGCTGCACATAACTCATTTTTATTTTGTTAAATTTACCTGATTCATTTTTTTTTCCTTTTTAGTCTGCAAATTACAAAAATAAGAGGAATTATTGCAAGCAGTTGAAGAGTAAGTTGTCCCACATCAAGAGGATGGTTGGAGATTATGACCGAGGGAAAACGGAAAGCAAATTCCAGATTGTCTGAGTGATGGCGAAGAATCCGACATCTCTGCAGTGGTGTCAGCATGCAAAATGACTTTGGACTCTAACCAGAGAGGCCAAACCTTTGTGATCATTACAGAGTTTTGGTAGCTTTCATATCATTGGTATTGAAGCATTTTATAAATAGCTTTTGATAATCAACTGTGCTGAACACTCCAATTAAGGATTTATGCTGTAAACACTGGTTCTGATATTAAGAACTGTTGTTTTGAGGTTTTTAAACCTTTTCAGGAAGGTTGCTCAGTGTACTGTGCTGTGAACTTTCACGCCCTAGGCAGTCATGTCTTAGTGCTTCATTAGTTCCAATAGGTAATCTCATTGAATCCTCCCAGAATCCTCCCTTCATGTAACTGTTATTTATAATGGTTCCTTTTCAGAGAAGGAAACTGGGTCCCTGCAGTGAAGTGAAACCACTTGTTTCCTAGCTTGCAGTTTTGGTTAAGTCTGTTTTATGACTCCATTAATGAAGTCCCTAACCGTTCATATTGTAGCTACTACGGATATTACATTCTACCAACTTTCCTACTGATTTTTTTTTCTGTGTGTAAATGGTTAAAAGAGCTTTTTATTGTTTTATGTTATCTTGGTAATAAAGACCATATAAAAGTAACACATTGTGAAATTTAAAGATTGTAAATATGTATTTACTTTTTAAAAATCAAAATTTAAAACCACTAGCTAGAATTTTATTGTGTATTTTAAAATACTTCTTAATCTTTTATGGTTTACATGTTTGTTTTTTTTTCTTTAACCAACTAGGCGCTTTCATTATATTAGAGTACCTGATTACATTTATAATTCAGTTGTGACTTGAAATGTATCTTACAGGAATGTTCAAGTTCTGTACATATTTTATAAGGTATTAAACCAGGTGTTTTCTTTCTATAATATACCTGTTTGATGTCATTAGTGCTGTTAATTTTAAGCTTTGCAAAACTACACTCAGCAATTATATCTGTTACTGTTTTAAACTCTTTTGGGTGTTATGCTGGTTGCTTGTTTCCCAGTCTGTTAATAAGGAAGCCGATTCGTCTGCCCTTAAATCTCAGCACTTTCTTTTCATTCAGATTTTTATTAGTAAAGTAAAACTAGCTGATAATACTGGGCATGTCACTAGCCAAGTTGATTGTGATTATCCCCCCAATTTAGAACTCTGTTTTTGTGGAAATATTTTGAAGAATCTGTAAATTAATCATTAGTCTGCAATTCAAACATTTAAGTATGTCAACATACCTGTAGAGATTTATTAAAAAATTTTTAATTACACTATTGCAGGAGTCCCCTCCCCACCCTTTGCCCACCGCCACCCTCCCCGGCCTCTCCCTTCCTTGGCCTTTACCAAATTACTGTCCATGTCCATGGGCTATGCATATACAGTGGGGCCTTGACTTACGAGTTTAATTCGTTCCGAGACCAAGCTCGTTAACTCAAATTACTCTATCAACTCAATGCAAAAAATCGGCAGAGACAGCTCGTATCTCAAAAAAACTCGTTAGTCAGGACCAGCCGTGGGCAAACTACGGCCCGCGGGCCGGATCCGGCCTATTTGAAATGAATAAAACTAAAAAAAAAAAAGACCGTACCCTTTTATGTAATGATGTTTACTTTGAATTTATATTAGTTCACACAAACACTCCATCCATGCTTTTGTTCCGGCCCTCCGGTCCAGTTTAAGAACCCATTGTGGCCCTCGAGTCAAAAAATTTGCCCACCCCTGGTCAGGACACTCGTAAGTCAAGGCCCCACTGTATGTGATTTTTAAAGGAGTTTATTTGAGCCAAATGTTTTGACAACATGTCAGGAAGCAAGATCTCAAATGCTCCAAGAATTCGTTTTGCAGTTTCTTTTGTATATTTGGAAATAAGGAAGATTACATGAAGGTCGGAGAAAGCAAGGTAGGGATTGTATTACAAGAAAAATGATGTGCTCTCTTGAAGGTGGTTATGCCTCAGAGGAGTCTGAAAAAGAGGAATACCCTGGTATTTTAAAGGTGTGTTAACCTAGAAGCACAAGAACAATGGACAGGGCTTACGTAAGGCAAAGATAAACCTTTTACTGAAGAAGTTATATGCCTGGGTCTGACTACCCACCATAATCAGCACAGGAATTTATGATCAGCCTTGGACTTTTCAGATTTATTACAGAGCCCCTTTTTCATCTACAAGTATGTCATTTTTTATATACCAGTCTGAATCATTTTCCAAAGATAAACTTTTTTTTATTATTGATTTTTAGAGAGAGAGAAACATCAACTTGTTGCTCCATCCATTCATGCATTCATTGGTTGCTTCTTGTTTGTGCCCTGACCTGGGTCAAACCCACAACCTTCACATATTGGGACAACGCTCTAACCGACTCACCTGCCAGAGCCCAAAGATAAACTTTTAAGTAATGTTTCCATTATAACACTGATTCATTTCTTCAAATTGAAGAAATTCTTAATTTTCCAGGTGTTTTACATATATGAGTAAAGATAATAGTCTATGCTTTTCATACCTGTTGGGCTCACATCAAATGGTAAGGACTCTCTTGAGCCACTTAACTGATTTTTACGTGTGCTAAAATTTTAACTTTGTGCTTGGAAGTCAATGTAATTAGTTTATGAAGGCAAGCTTGCCAGTGTTCTGACAAAACCAATTCAGCTGAATAGAGAAAATCAAATAGCATAAGTTTGCGTTGTAAAATTGTGCCATAAAATTGGACTTTGAAATACAAAAACAAAATCATTTTGCAAATGTGGTACTTACTACAGACCACTTTAGGAGCCAGGATCAGGGCATTTCTGATGGGATTGACATTAACTAGCTGGCTATAACTTTGAAAAGCCACTCAAGCAGTTTCCTAGTCTGGAAAGCAAGAGGTTTAGATTTGATTTCTGAGGTCTCTTCTATCTCTGACCTGTGATTCTTATGTCTGCATATATTTGTTCAAGGTCTTGTTGTGAAAGCATGTGGTCTATTTGATAAAGGTTCACTGCATAAGATTTTCTTACGTGTGTTTTGTATTAAAACTAGATGACATCAACATTTTTATTTATTTTGAAAAATTTAAAGAAATATTGAAAACTATACATACCTGTACCCACCACCCAGAAATAAAAGGTGTTAGTTTTGTCACATATGCTTTGTATTTTTTGAAATAAATTTAACTCTTAGTATTTATAGTAAAAGTTACATTCTATATACACGCATACATACACAAAATATTTAATTTCTTACAACAGTTCTATCTACTTGCAACCATTTCTCATTTTACAGTAAAGTAATGATCTGATGGATTCACTGGTCCATTGACACATTCTGTCAAGTGACTAAACTAGGAATCTTTGATTATGAGGTTCTATACTCCCACTCTAGCTTGATTTTCTTAATGAATTAATGGGTTGGATAAGGTGGAGTTGCTCTGTCCTTTTTAATTTTGAGTGCATTTTAAGTACTTATAATAATGTGAAATGTTTTCATATAAATATCTGAGGTTTCTATAACGACCTGAATGGGGGGCATGCGTGTATAAAGGGTCAGGGTAGAAGAATTCTTTAGTCATGGTTGCAGGGATCTTAGATTCAGTTGGCTGGGGAGCAGGTGGGGGAGTTCCCTAACATAAACACACTCTTCCTTTTTCAGCATTGGGATTGGAAGTATCTCAACTGGACATTTTAAAGGCTCAGCCATAGAAATAAGAATTCAAACTCAATCTCCTGGCAGCTCATGGTTCTGCTTACACTCACCATATAACTCTTCTTGTATGAAAGCACAAATAAATTAGATGGAAGGTGATCTCATCCCTCCTGTGTTTCATATTGTTAACATTTCTCCTAAAGCAGTGATTCTCAACCTTCTGGCCCTTTAAATACAGTTCCTCATGTTGTGACCCAACCATAAAATTATTTTCGTTGCTACTTCATAACTAATGTTGCTACTGTTATGAATCATAATGTAAATATCTGATATGCAGGATGGTCTTAGGCGATCCCTGTGAAAGGGTCGTTCGACTGCCAAAGGGGTTGTGACCCACAGGTTGAGAACCAATGTGACCTAAAGGGACTACTTTTCATGAATAAAATGTCCCAAGTGTCGTGTAGTTTTTGGAAAACACTGTGTTAAAATTAATGCCACTTTGGAGTTAGAAAAAGAACATGCACACAGAACTATGTAAGCGGGGTGGGGGGTGGGGGTGCGGCGGTGCACGCACACACACTGTGGAAGGGTGTTCCCAAAACATCTTTAGTTACTGCCAAAGAGCCTGCTTGCTCTTTCCTGCAAGTGGTCTTGCTTTGCCCTCCAGCAATTACTGTGTTTATGTGTGACCTTGGGCAAATTACTTAGCCTTCCTGTGTCTCATTTTGCTTATTTGAAAGATATCTGTACCTAATCTAGTTAAATGAAGGTAGTTATTGTGTAACTTAGATCAGTCATTGTCAGAAAGTAAATAAAAAATATGGCCAGTTACATCTATTTCCCAAAGCTGGAAGGTGAAATTTGAAACGACTTTTTAAAAAGCAAATTGTGTCTTCAAAGTTTATGTATTATCCCAATCCCCTATGTACTTCATATGTGTTGGGTGCAGGTTAAATTCTGAATTGTAGACATAACTGCATTAGGCTTGGCACTGTGACTTCATAAATGATGAACAAATGCTTAAAAGAATAGAGTTTACATATCAAGATAAGGATTATTAGGTACTGTTGTAAGAAATTCTGGAGGTGTTTAATGAGTCTCTTGAATGATTTAAGTTCCATCTAAAGGTACTGGAATAGGCAGGTTCACCTCTCCCAGTCTTTGAGGTTGCACACTTTGAATATCGGCTTGATTCCACTGGCTGAGCTGTTCATGAATTTCCTAACTGTGGATCGTGTCCAACCACCGACGGGCAAAGAACAAACTGTTCCATTCTTTATAGTTGTCCCTTAGTTTTACAAGTTGGAACATTTGGCTAGGTGAGAGCATTTATTATACTACTTGGTACACGATTAGAATATTGTGTCATAATTATGGCAAGGGATTATGGATTTATGCATATTTCGGTTAGCTTTGCTTTGGTACCATTCCTACTTGACTCACGGTCTAAAACTACAATCTGTACAGAGGAGAGTAAACTTTATAGTTGCTAAAAGTCTGAATGATTCAGGCTTCTCTCCACAAATATGCTTTAACTTAAATTTATTGGAGAGCCCTCTGTTTTTCCCCCGATTTTCCATTAGAAAGTTTCTAGGGTGGTAAACCTAAGTGAGAAACTTGGAGCTTGGGATTGTGGCTGTTAGGAATGCATCCCATCTTGGAATAGGATGGTCCAGCAGAATGGAAGGGAAGAAAAGAAAAAGAAGAAAGCATGGCGTTTATAGAGAGAAGGGAAAGGGAAAAGTGTGGTGGTGTTTGTGTGAGTCCTGTAGAGGAGTCAAAGATGTCAGGGAGGCGAAGATGGAAGGTGACTGGCACTTTGGGAAAAATCATCAACACTGATTTCCCCTCGCCCTTTTAAAGACAATAAGACCTCATCTTCTGGTTACGGAGTTGCCACTAGTGATGTATAAAACCTGTAGAGTAGGTGGAGGTATCCCCATTTTATAGGTGACTTGCTTGAGGTCACCCAGCTAGTCAGGCGGAGCCTGATATTAAAGCCAGGTCTGTTCATTCCACTACTACGCAGGATGGCTTCTGTTTGTTTTTGAGGGAGTAGAACACATGGGGAAATAATGTTGGTGCCAATAAAGCAATACCTGTAACGAAGGGGAAGCATATGCTAATGGGGAAGCAAAGCAGCTCCAGACCCTGTATTTCCTTTCTGCTCTTCCTCTCCTGGGCCTAACCTTTTAAAAAATATTCTGGGGTTGCTTTGTCTCTCCATTACTCGAGCGTGGGAAATGCTAGTACTTAATTCCATATGTACTAGCAGGCATCTCCAACAACTTTTCCAAAACAACGGATCTTACCCATCCCCTACCCTCTCAGTAATTGCAACTCCAACCTTTCGGTTGCTCAACTAAAAAAGTTTGGAATCACTGGTTCCTTGCTCATAATACACACCCAATCTATCGACAAGATTGTGAATCCAACCGCTCCTCACTCCCTGCACTGCCCTCCTACACTAGTTCAAGCCACCATCCTCCCTCCGAAGTTCTCACGAGGCCCACAGCCACCCACCTCTCTGATTTCTGGGGCCACCATCCGCCCCCCCCCCCCCACGCTCGCTCACGTAGTCCCTCAAACACGCCAATGTTCTTCCACCTTTGCGCTCGCATCTCCCTTTACCTGGAGAGATCGTCCCTAATACAGCATGGTCAACTCCCTCTCTCATTCTGATGGCGGCTCAACTGTCCTGGTGCGAATTCCTCTGACCACGCGATTTAACACAGCCGCCCATTCCTCCTTTCATGCTTCATTTTACTCGATGCCACTATCACCATTTCATCGAGTCTGTTTTTCTTGACAACTGTCTCCATAGAAGGAAACCCCAGGAAGCCAAGGTTTTCGGTCCGTTTTTCATTGCCGTGTTCTCAGTGGTGAGAACTGTCTCAGGCCCCAAGTTAGTGTTCAATAAAACATTCCTTACATGAACACCGGGAGCAGCAGAGGCGTCCCCGAAAACTTGCACAGCAAGGTCCTGTTTAGCTGCTGCCGTTCTGCATGTCAACCCTTAGAAATAAGCAAAGTCATGCTCCTCAGTTCCCGGATCGATGGCTACCGGGACTCCAACCTTCCAAGACGGGATGATGCTTCTCTCGCCTCTTCCTTAGCTGGAAGCGGGGACTGTAGCTCCCTCCCCGCACTCGAAATCAGCTGCGAGAAGCCGCGGCCCGGGAACGCCAGGCTCCCACCACCTACACTTGAAGCGGTCGGAACGTTTCTGCCACGCCTCTGCGTGCGGCGGAAGGACTTCGGAGGCGCCCTTAGAGCGGGTTGGGCGGAGCTTCCGGGCAGAGCGGCTTCCGGGCAGAGTGGCGTCGGGCCGGACCGGTGAGTCCGCGGGTGGAGGCCCGCGCAGAGCGGAGGTGTGGGCCGGATGCCTGGGGCGGCTGGCGGCGCGAAGGGCCTTCACTCCCCGGCCGGAGGCTGAATGGCCTGACCGGCGTCATGAGGAATGAGGGTGTGAGGGAGCGTGCGGAAGAGGAGGGCCGTTTCCGTGTGGGAGCTGCGGGGGAATGTCTATTTGGGGAATGTCCCTACCGCAGAGCGCGAGCTTTGGGAATTGGGACCCTGGGTTCGAGTTTGCGACCTGCCTCCAGCCAGGTGGCCTCGAGGGAGTGACGAACCATCGATCCTCGAGTTCCGCAACTGAAAACAGGACAGTGGTCACCCGAGCCTGCCTCACAGCGCTTGCTGGGATCAGGTCTGCGGACCAGCTTCCTGGCGTGGGCGTCGGTGCAGGTCGCAGTTGTTGGCAGGTAGCGGTCTGCGCTCCTGTGACAGGAAGCACGCCAACAGGCTTACGCGGGCTTTTCTGGGGTTGGGTTCCCAGGAAACAGGTTACTGATATTTTGAGAAGATGGGCTATTAGGAAGTTAGTTCCAGGAGTTGACCGACCTGAGGGGTTACCAAGTGCATCTTTCTCCAGGATGCGTTGTAAGCATCCAGCTTCCCTTCCAGCGCCTGCAGTCACGGGGAGCTTCATTCACACCCGTCCTGTGCCTGCAATTTCCCGTCGCGCGCAGCTCTAACGAAAACAAACGTGCTTGTCTGCAGAGAGCCGCGAGTGTACCCACCTGCAGTGCCTACTCACCTTGTGTCAGAGCTTTCAGGGAATTCAGTAACAAAAGTAAAATACATCTTGATGTGATGGATGCCAGGAGCCACTTTTTAAAAAATTGGAGTTTATAAACGTTGAAAACACTTTCTTGGAGAATCAAAATGTTCAATTTATTCACTGTATGTTACGTTACTACACATCATTAAACCTACAAGGGCATCAACATAGTCAGCTGTTGAAACAGTACAGAAGTTAGAATTAGGTCACTTCTCTACTTCAAGATGTTAAAGTGGATCGCCAGATTTCCTGCAGCAAAAGAGTCTCTTTCAGGGCCGTGGAGTGGTTGATTCAGTGAGAGACTTGGAGCTTTAGTAAATAATATCTAATTATTACAGGTGCCACAGGAAACAGTGTTGCCATAAACACCGTGTACAACTTGTCAATAGATTTTAATTCCAGAAGTCCATTTATAGGTCAGTTCTTCAAATCCTTAAATGTCTGTTTTAGAAACAATAATATAAAAGGAGGGTAAGGTCTTGGTTTTGGTCCTCATCATAAAGATTTATCTTTGACTCTGCCAGTGAGGAGATTTGTTTTGTCCTTAATGTCTTGGCACTTAGGATTCCTTTGAGCCTTCATTTATGCACCAAGGAAGCTGAGAATGAGAGTGTGGGGTAGGCAGGGATATTTCATTGGAGAAGGTGGAGGTGTGGATGTGGTGGGATGTTTATTACTTGGTTATGGTTAATAGGTTCCCCCTACTACCTGTTTTGTCCTTGATTATTCAAGAAATGAAGGTTCGTATTGAAAATACAGAAATGAATAAAGAAACAAAAAAAACTAATCACCCTTAATCCAGTCATACAGATGAAACCTATTTATTGAATTACTAAATTTTTTTCCTTTTAATAGTAGGTATCTGTGTAGGTTTAATAGTGTGTCATTTTTTGAATTATGAGCCATAAGCATTTATCATTTATAAATAATAAATTTCATTTAAAAATTTGATTATGAAACGAATCACATATACACAAAGATGGAGGGGTAGTACAATAAATCACCACATCCATCACTCAGCTATAATAATCATTAGTTGTAGCTCATCTTGCTTTATCTACACCCCTACTCACTTCTCATAATCCATGGTCCTGCCCTATGACACATCTGTAATCCATTTTTGTTTTTTAAAAAATTGTAAAAGATACTTTTATTGGTGCCAAATTTGTGTGTAAATATTTTTAGTCTTTCTTGGGGATGGGAAAAGTTCCATGAGGATTTTGTAAATTTTTTTCACCCAACAAAAATTATTGACTAAATTTCAAAGAATATAAGATGACCTTGCATTCTGATTTTTTTTTTTTACTTTGTATGTTTACTTCCCCCTCTTTACTTTTCAAATTTAATTGTATAAAAAATGTCATTCAACCGAAGGACTTGTATGCATGCATATAAGCATAACCAATGGATACAGACACAGGGGGCGGGGGTGAGGGCATGAGTTGGGGGATGGGGGGATATTGGGGAGATAAGGACACATTTGTAATACCTTAATAAAGGGAAAAAAATCTAAAAATGTCATTCAACAACAAAACAAATACTTTTAGGAAATTTACAATGTAATGATTTTTATAGGATATTGAATAATATAATACATTTAAGAAAAAATGGATGAAGAACCTGAAAGAACTAAGCGATGGGAAGGAGGCTATGAAAGAACATGGTGAGTAGAGCATTATTACAATGTCTCTCTTTTTAGACATTTTTTAAAAGTATATTTTTATTGATTTTTAGAGAGAGAGGAGGGGAGAGGGATAGAGAGATAGAAACATCGATGAGAGAGGAAGTCATTTATTGACTGCCTCCTACACAGCACCCACTGGGATCGAGCCCACAACCCGGGCATGTGCCTTGACTGGGAATCGAGCTGGCGACTTCTTAGTTCCTGGGTTGACTCTCAACTGCTGAGCCACACCAGCCAGGCATCTTTTAGACATTTTTTTATAACTTAATTAAAGTATATTTTACAAATGTTAAAATTAAGCTGTTTCCAGTGTGTAACTGAGTGATTTTTAGAAAATTTGTTCAGTTGTGTATTCATCCCCACAAATCAGTATTAGAACATTAAAAAATTTTTAGAGAGAGAGACATCAGTTTTTCTCCACTCATTTGTGCATTCATTAGTTGTTTCTTGTATAGGTCCTGACTGGGGATCGAATGCAACCTAGTTACACTGGGATAACGCTCCAACCAACTGAGCTACCTGTCAGGTCCTAGAACATTTTTAAAAGCACCCCAGTAAGATCCCTCCTGCCCACTTACAATTAATTCAATTTATACCTCTAGCCCTAGCCAACCACTAATCTACGTTGTCTCTATAGATTGCCCTTTCTGGACATTTCATGTAAATGTAATAATATAATAGGTGGTCATTTGTGTCTGGCTTCCTTTCACTTAACATACTGTTTTTCCTACTAGCCCAGTAGTTCAGGTGGTGAGAGTGTTGTCCTGATATGCCAAGGTTGCAGGTTTTGTTTTTGTTTTTGTTTTTGTTTTTGTTTTTAAATATATTTTATTGATATTTTACAGAGAGGAAGGGAGAGGGATAGAGAGTTAGAAATATCTATGAGAGAGAAACATTGATCAGCTGCCTCCTGCACGCCCCCTCCTGGCGATGTGCCCGCAACCAAGGGACATGCCCTTGACCAGAATCGAACCTGGGACCCTTCAAACCGGCCAGGGCAAGATTGCAGGTTTTATTGTTGTTTGTTTGTTTGATTTTGTTAATCCGAAGATATTTTTTTTTCCAGTGATTTTTTTTTAGAGAGAATGGGAGAGAGAGAGAGAGAGAGGGAGAGAGAGATACATCAATTGATTGTCTCCTGCACATGCCCTGACCAGGGCCTGGGATTGATCCTGCAACCCAGGTACGTGCCCTTTGACAGGGAATGCACCCCTTGACCCTTCAGTGTATGGATCAATGCTCTAACCATTGAATACACCAGCCAGGGCAAGGTTGCAGGTTTGTTCTTGGGTCAGGGCACAAATAAGAAGCAACCAATGAATGTATAAATAAGTGGAACAACAAATAAATGTTTCTCTTCCTCTTCCTTCTTCCCTCTCATTCTCCTTCCCTTCTTCCCTTCCCTCTTTCTCTTCCTTCCTCCTTCCCTTCCTCCCTCCCTTTCTTCCCCTTTCTCTCTAAAATCAATTTTTTTTAAATGCTATTTTCAAGATTCATTCATGTAGCACATATCAATAACTCATTCTTTTTTATTGGAGAATAATATTCTATTCTGTTGTTATACCATATTTTTACTCATTCGTTCATCAGTCGATAGACATTTAGATTTCTTACAGTTTTTGGCTGTTATGAATAATGCACCAGTGAACATTTACATACAGATCTTTATATGGACATATGTTTTCGTTTCTATTTGGTTAATTAATTTTTAGCTTATCTTTCTAAACAAGTAATTACTGCTTATAGGGAGATTCTTAAAGAAGATGAGTCAGGATCACTGAAAGCTACAATAGAAGACATTCTCTTCAAAGCAAAGAGAAAAAGGTATGTAAACTTTTTTGTAGGTATGTTACAAAAGCTAAAATATATTTCTTTAAGCTTTTCTGTGCACCTATACCCACTCCTCAGTACTTAATTTCACCAGTGTTTCAAGGAATTTGACCTGTAACCTAAACAGGGGGAAGGAACCAGGAACCTAGTACTTCAGCAGGGAAATGGGTCTTTAGGGACTATCCAGAATGCCTATAATTATGTGGCTTCCGTAAGTTAATAATTTACTAAATAAATGCAGGCTAGTTGAAGCATTGTATTGATTTTGGGGGGCAGTATATGATAGATAGTCCATTAAAATGTTTGCATAATTTTAACAGAGTATTTGAGCACCATGGACAAGTTCGACTTGGAATGGTATGTTATTTTTTCTTTTACTGGTACAGAACTATTTTGGGGTTAAGAAGCATTCTGCCTTGATAGAATAAACAAACCTTTTAAAACAACATATTAAAAAATATATAGACTATGTGAGTACTAAATGCCATTTTTACTTCTTGGTCAAAAAAGTATTTGAAAACTGTCCTTCTTTGTATTTTTTTTATAGATGCGCCATCTTTATGTGGTAGTAGATGGGTCAAGAACAATGGAAGACCAAGATTTAAAGCCGAATAGACTGACATGTACTTTAAAGGTAAAAGAAAATTTTTTACATACAATCTTCTTTTTTCTTTTTCTTTTGAGTTAATACAAACTATAGCTAAGTAGAAGTGCTACCAGATCATTTAGAAAATGATATACCAAAATAGCTAATTATAGTAGTCCCCCCCACCCCCCACCCCTTATCCTCAGTTTCAGTTACCATGGTCAACCACAGTCTGAAAATATTAATTAAAAAATTCCAGAGAAAAAAGTTCATATGTTTTATTTACTTAATCCTCACCCGAGGATACATTTGTATTGATTTTAGAGAGAAAGGAAGGGAGGGAAAGAGAGAGAGAAAGACATAGATGTGAGAAAGAAACATCAATCGGTTGTCTCCCCTATGCGTGTGCCCCAGCCAGGGATTGAACCTGTATTTGGAGTATGGGACAATGCTCTAACCAACTGAGTCACCAGCCAGAGCTAAATTTTATCATTTTTTATTTAATATTTTTACTACTGAACATTTTTGAAAATCTAATAACTTAAAAATCATGCTTGATAAATAGGTTTCCCAAAATATGTTCCCTATGGTTGTTATTTTGCTCTTACCTGGTATTTCCTTTTGTTTTATTTGAACAGTTGTTGGAATACTTCGTAGAGGAATATTTTGATCAAAATCCTATTAGTCAGGTATGTAAATAAGTGATGGAATTCAGAATTAGATTCCTGATATTACTGCCAAATAAAATTTATTTTTAAAACATTGGGCATCTGTTCTATAAATTATTAAGTGTTTCAGACTGTGTACTAGTTTTTAGTACATTTGTCAATGAAAAACAAGATAACTCTAAAAGTTAAATTATGTACAGTGAACTCATAGCTAAATTTATGTCTAAAGCATCATGAAAAAAGTTTTCTCACATGTTACTTATTCCTTTTGTAAACACTAATTTATGTTAATGTACATTCTTACCAAGAAGTAATTTGTTAAATTAAGAATCCTTTTTGTTTTTATTTTTAGATTGGAATCATTGTGACAAAGAGTAAAAGAGCTGAAAAACTGACAGAACTCTCAGGTATGCATAAAATTACCTTTATAGGACTCAAGGACTTGGCTTTATTTACTCAGCCTTGAAACCCTATCCAAAAGGTTGCCTAGTAAGTAAAATTAGGCCTTCCTGTATGTTCTCTATTAAATTTGGTATCAAAGATGAACTGTTTTTATTGTGTGTGTGTATCTTTATTTTTTTAATCCTTACCTAAGGATATATATTTTTTAATTGGTTTGAGAGAGAGAGAGAAAGAGACTTTACTGGTTGTTTCCCCACCAGAGATTGAACCTTCAACCTGGGTATGTTCCAGGGCTAAGACAAACTGTTTTATTTATTTATTTATTTATTTATTTTAATTGGTTTAGAGAGAGAGAAAGAGACTTTACTGGTTGTTTCCCCACCAGAGATTGAACCTTCAACCTGGGTATGTTCCAGGGCTAAGAAGACCTGTTTTATTTATTTATTTATTTATTTATTTATTTATTTAAAGTATACTAGAGGCCCGGTGCACAAAAATTTGTGCACTCGGGGGGCGGGGGAGGGGGGGCCCCCAGCCCGGCCCGGGCC